AGTTGACTTAATATAACCCTAATCGGGTTTTTGTGCTTTTTTGTCAAATTTTTTCTTGAAATTTCAAATCAGGCGATCTTTTGATGAATAAAATTTCAATTATTTAATACATTTATAGAATTTCGACTTAACAAAATTTCTAGTGAAATATAATTTAAGAAAAAAATATTGAAAAAAAAAAAAACAAATAATAATAATTATTACAAAAAAAAATTAATATTTAATTAAAAAAAAAAGAAAAAAATAAAAAAAAATAGTAAATTATTAAAATGTGGTTAAAGGAAGCGCAGGCTGAATGCTGTGAAATAGCTGAGCCGCTGCCTAGCCATGCAGAATGTTTTGTGCCCGAAGTTTGCGAAGAACTCTCCCAATTACAATGCCTACATGATCAGCAATTTATAAGACGACGACGTATATGGGAATTAGCGAAACCAACAAGACGAGTACCGCGATTTACACCATTTTGTCCATGCAAGCTGAAGAAACCAATCGAGATAATACATTTGGATAAAAGAGAGCATACGCGAACTGAACAATTGGCTTATCCGACTGTTAGACGATTGATGCTTTTTAAAAAGGATGTAGCAAGACTCTTTGATCCTTATCGTTTAGTTAATTTAAATCGTCTTTTACGCAAAAGTCTATTATCTGTTTATAGTCGTTTGGCGAACATTCAGCCACCACAAGAGAAGTAAGTCCAAATAAAGTATGCTCGTCTTTACGTACAATAAATTCTTTTGATTTTGTTAGAAAAAAAATTACTAAATGGGATAAAGCAGACTGGGCTAAGCATACTGTCATTCTAGTAAAATTGGCAAAACCGAAAAAAACGTTTGAGGAAGAGAAACCGGTGAGAGATAATGCACATGGAATGGCATAATGTTAATTATGAATTGTTTTTGTTCAGGAATCGCCTTCAATGCCATTAAAAAAAATGAAACGCTATAAGTATTTGGCTCTGCCAAAGAAACGTGAAGAACTCGAAAAACCTGTATGGACTTTAACAATAGTTATGGCACGATATAAAGCTTCTGATCGTATCAAAATTTTGGCAAAACCAACCGAACGTGATGCTTCACAACTGCACAGAGAATTACCAATTGAGATTGCGCTAGGCGCGTTAAAACATAAAGGTAAAACTTTTATTTTATATCTTAAAACCTATCTTTGCCTTCTATTTATAATATTGCTTATAGCATCGAAGCGCACAGTTGAATTATCTGAACCAAGACGTACGGCTAAAACAGCCCCCTCGGATCTTAAAGAGAATGCCTTCGTTGTCTCACCGACCGCGCTCACCCACAAAGCAAGTAAACGAACAAAAGAACTGGCCGAACCAAGGGAGTACGAGAATAAGCATATACGCGAAAATCCATTTGCAATTTCGCCCGCCGCCCTAAAAGCGAAGGCTAAGCCTCGGATAATAGAATTAGCCAAACCTAAAGGTTCCTAAGCGCCTAACTAATGTTTTCTTTTCTTGTAAAAATTGTTGCCTTGGAACTAAAATATACGGATATTATAAAAAAAAAGAAAGAAAAGAACCGAACTCGAGGGGAAAAATGGGGAAGAAAACTAATCCATAGACAATTGAAACAAATTACATCTCGGAAAATATCGGCAAAATTTTTCTTCTTCTTCTTCATATTATTTTAGTATTAATATTAGTTTGATAGATTTTACTCGTATAGGAAAGATATTTCAGATGTTTGCATGGTTGTTTTTTTTTTATTTAGTTTTGAAAAAAAATTTTTTTTTTTTTTGGGGAAGGAATTAGAGACAAGCGATATATTTGTAATTTGTTAAAAACTTTGTGGCTGATAAGGAAAAACAAATATTTCAGTCGATAGCTTGCATAGGCTGATAGTAAAACAATACTTTACAATCATACATAACAGTGTAAGACTGACGATGTGTTGAGATCAAAGCAAAAATGACGGCGAAGACTAATCACTTGATTTTCGTGAACACTGAAAGCACGTCTGCATCAAGGGACCTTTGCTGCTTTGGTGTAACGCTTCGAGCTATATTGATATTGACTACAACAGCTTCCTGTTTCTCATTATTATTGTCTGCTCATTTTGCATAGAGGTGATGTTTGGTAGGATGGATTTGGACACGATAAGTATGCAATTGGTTGGAAACGCGTAAGTAACACGCTTACTGTGATATTGATCACTTTATAGGTATTATAAAGACTGATTTAATTGTTTAGCGAAAATACGATTAATAAAAATTAAGAATTAGTTTCATTTATTTATATATATATATATATATATAGCGATGACAAATTTAGTAATCCTCTATTCTCCGAGAGTTTTTCAAAAGCTTAATTCTCAACATGAAGGAAAGTATTAAGGATTTTGAACTTGTATACATGCGACAAACTGTCCCTCAAATTCAGTTTCGGGAATTTCATTCACCTATGGATGTCCTTAAGTTTATCGGTTCTTGAGAATTCTGAAAACCCCTGATATATTAAAAATGTTAACATGTAATATTTAATAACTTAAGTCCTGAGAGAGATAGAACATTTTGTGGTATCAAAATTTTGGTATATAAATTTTCTATTAGGAATACGTGGTTTTTCATTTGTTCACTAACTATTCCGCAATTAACCAAAATATTGCAAAAATTTTATTCATGGAGAGGTAAGAATTTTTCTTAAAAACTGATGGAAATTAATTTACTTAAGTTTTATGGTAATATATAGCGTTACGTGAATTTGCATGAATATTATTGTAAAATTAAAGCAATTGACGATTAGAAGGAAAAGGAAAAAATCAACAAAAGTTTGTGGGAAATTCAGGAGATAAAAGAATTTATATATAAAAAAAAAAAAAAAAAAAAAATGGCGGAATGAAATCTAGCGCTGATATATTGTTTTCGAAATGTATATAAGCAGACTAGAGAGAGAGAGAGAGAGAACCGCAGCAATCATAGGGAGAAGAGACTTAAATCGTGATATTCGAAGGAAAAAATTGATCAAGCATAGGAGAGAGGAGAGAGAGACTAGATATTTTTGCTATGATGTTTTAATTAAATATTTCCGTATTAAGAGACATAGGGACTTCAATAGATAATACTCCGATATTTCTACACTAGAATTTCTTAAACACGATTTCTTCCTATGGTTTTTTTTTTTTTTTTAATAGAAATTTCATTAAATATTGTGAAAGTGAAAAGGATCAAAAATATTATATCCTTATTTCAGGTAACGAAACGAATGTACGAACATGTATCTTGTAGAGGAAGTTTAGAAAGAAGAATTGATTTTGCAGTTAAATATATTAAAGTAGTTGGCCTTTTTGAAATAATTCAAAATTGATAAAATTTTTTTTTGTCTATACATTTTCGAAATTCAATTTATAGAAATATTTTTGAAATTGTAGATAAAATTGTAAAAAATTTATAAAATGCACACAACAGAAGTCCGAGATGATTTGTATAAAAAGGATTTTTTTAAAAATTATCCAAATGATAGCGTAAAAGGAAAAGGTAAAGTAACGGCAGATTCACTAATAGAATTCGTGTATACGTATGAATTGGTTTTTTTTTTTTCGCAGAAGCATTCAAAATCACTAATGATATATTTCCCGTTGATGTGAAAGAGAGTCCCTTTACTATATCGCGAAAAGCGTTAAGTGCTAAAGCATCTAAGCGTACCAGGAAGCTGGCCCAACCGAAAAAGTTTGAAATTGAGCACGTTCGTAGAGATCCTTACAAAGTGTCGGAAGCGGCGATGAAAGCAAAGCCCAAGCAAAGGACAATCGAATTAGCCCAACCAAAAAAATATACCGATAGGTTTATATATTAGAAGTGATCGGACGAAAATTCAAATCATGCGAATTTGCTGTATACGCATTCCTTGAATTCTAATCATGAGGCAGCGGCAAGTTACTTTGAAGAGAAGGAAAATATGAAAAAAGAAAAAAATTTATATTTGTTTAATTAAATTCTTCCATTCAATGTACCTTTTGTTTGAGATTTGTGATGCGAATCAATAAATGCTGCATAATACATAATCAGATGACCTAAGCTTCTCTTGGCATTTATACGAAGCAGCTGTGGGAGATTAATTCCTTTTTTTGGAGGTTTGAAAAAGCGAAACATTTGCGCTGAAACGGACTTAGTTCACCACACCTTTTCTCTATTCCTCTTCTTCTCTGCTAGATCAATTTCTCATGGGGAAAATAGCATTTGTTTTCCCTCAATGCAAAGCAACCATTTGCGGGTAGTCAATGCAATACCCCAAGACCTTTGCCCGTGAGAAGGTGACTAAGCTGTTTAGTTATTTTAGTCAATGGAAAATGAAAAAATTTCAAGAGAAATGCAATGTAGTGATTTAACTAAAGCATTGCCTTTCGTTGGCCATCATAGTGTAAAGTGCATAACCTCAAGATACTAACAAAACGCCGACATGCGTGGAGAGAATATTGCGATCACAGGTAAGAATGTCAATAATATCCTCTTAAATTTAACAACGTTTTTGATAAACGTAATCTATGTCTGTTTTTGATTACCGATTAAATATTTGGAAATCTTTTCGTGATTGATATAATGAAGATAGTAAAACTGAAACTAAAGATGTACCGTTAATTTGTTCATAGCATGCTTGAAAATTAACTTACAAGAGGCACCGGAAGTACTTAGAAATTTTAAAAGTACGGACAGAATCTAATACGAAATTCAATGAAAAACGTTAGTTGACTACATATTTTTGCTTGCTTACCTGTATGCTATTATGGTCGTCTTTGAGATAAGGTTGAATATCGTCTTGTTGAACTTTTTCCAGGCGTATTATTCAATCTCCTACACCAACTCGCTTAATAGGATTATTCATTGCAATTGTCTTTTGTAGTTTGAACACAAGACTACAAGAGGGGCAGAATCGATCCGTATAAGACAAGATAGACTTTTATATAATATATATAAAGATAAGCTTAATATACTCTTGTAGGGTATGATAGATAAATATATTATTATCTAATTATGAGTTACAACGACATCGACGAATCTCATATGCTTTCATTCTATAATAATGAATACATAAATTTACTTTCTTGACAGCTTAAATAAAAAATATTTAGTTTGTAAAAAAAGTCTTTAGGAATTAGATGTAAAAAAATTGTCCATGAAAAATTGTAAAAGTTGATAAAAAATTAAAATTTTCGAAACGAGGTGACACACAAACCGAGAGATAAAAATGTGGAGAAAGGAAACTAAACCTGAATGCTGCGACGAACACGAATCGTTACCAAAGCGAATGCATTGCTTTTGGCCGGAAGTTTGCAAAGAATTACAGAAACTGAAATGTAGACATGTGCAGCGTTTTGTTAAATGTAAACGTCTTATGAAATTGGCTATACCATTAAAAAGTATGAAAGTGGGCCGTTTCGTACCCACCTGTCCTTGTAAGCTTGAAAAGTCGATTGAAATATCGCGTTTAGATGAAAGGAAGCATACGCGAACTGAACAGTTAGCCTATCCGAAAGCTAGGCAATTATTACTTTTCAAAGAAGAGGCCTATAACTTATTTGATCCGTTTCGTAATGCGAATTACAATCGTTTAATTCGCAAAAGTTTATTCTCTATGTACAGTCGTCTGGCTAACGTTCAACCTCCACAAAAAAGGTTAATAATAATGTCAATTATATTTGCAGCATAATTGGGCAAAATATTTATGTTATTCATTTATTTTAGAAAAATAATACCGAAATGGGATCGCAAAGAATGGGCCCGCCATACGGCAAAACTTAATAAACTAGCTAAACCTAAAAAACCTAAGAAAATACCGAGAGAGGTAAATACATACTGGCGAGCTATATATATATATGTATATAATATATATGCAAATGTATCATTAAATATTATTCATAGCATTTTTGTTGTTTTTTTTTTGTTTTTTTTATCGTTAGCCCTCGAAACGTATGCCGCTAAAGAGTATGAAACGTTTTAAATATTTAGCTGAACCAAAAAAACATGAATTACTTGAAAAGCCGGAATGGACAATCACGGATGTCATGTATCGGTACAAAGCTTCTAAACGTCTCATCGATTTGTCGCAGCCTGTTCAATTTGATGAAGCTAGATTCATTAGGCCAGTACCTGAACCAATACCCGCAAATGTTCTTAAGGCTGTCGGTAAGTATTGAAAGAATTCAACGAATTCGCACGATAATGCAATGCATTGGTGAAAGTTGAAATATTCATTACAAAAACAATGATGAATGCTTTAATTTAAGCTACCGCAAGGACTAGGGCGCTGGCTCAACCCACTAGTCGTGGGGCTAAATCAGCAGCGGCGGATGTTAAGGAAAATCCTTTCTCTGTTTCACCTCTGGCGATTAAATATAAAGCAAGTAAACGGATTAAGGAACTGGCCGAGCCAAGGGAGTATGAAAATAAGCATATACGTGATAATCCATATTTTATATCGCCAGCTGCTCTTAAGGCGAAAGCCTCACCACGCACAATCAATTTGGCTAAGCCCAAAGTACGATCAACGTAACGTTTTCCTTTCTCATTTTTAAAGTGCTTTTTAATTTTTATCTATTGTTCTCGATAATGTTTTGTGTGAAAATTTGTAGTCCGTCACGATATCTAAATATCTCTCAATCATATCAAAAGTCACTTCAAATAAACTGTAAATTATAATTTGGAAAAACTGTAAATTGCAAATTAATTTTATGAATTTTCGATAGCAATTAGAAGAAATTTTAATAAAGCGAGCACAGCCATTAGTAATAGCTGACGGGAGAATATCACTGCTCGATAGTGATGGTAGTATTGCAGTTGATAAATTCCATTAATTCGAACATCACATCCGACTGTTTATTTGCTCGTCCTCACTACTTGTCAACTCACTTATATCGGTTATATCGCTTTCCTATATGATATAAGTGCTATCTCCCTTTCCTAGAACAAAAAAAAAAAAAAAAAAAAAAATCAAAAAAAGCCAGAGCATGGAACTAAACGCGATCAATAAATTTGTTATTATATATAACGTATCGCGATGTCTCCTCATGCGACAAATATTTTTCATATTTATCGCATCTGCATGGTTTGACAATACCGTCAGCAGATAGAACTATCTAAGCAGAGCTGTCTGCTGCCCATGTTAACTGCTTGACCGATAGATGATGTCATCAATCAATTTAAATGCCATTTGAAGTCGGAAAACAAATGATTTTTTGATGTCGTAAGCTGTGAAGATGAAAATCGTTTCCTATTTCGGGGCTCACATCTCCAATGATGTATTAGTTAGTTATCATTATTTTTGCCAAGAGCGTAGACCTGCACAACATATCTTTTTTGCTCTAGTTTCTATTATCATGCACACACACATGCATAATTCTAATCTTTTTATTCTCTCTCTGTGGACCAAGGGAAAGATGGTAACATCAATGAAAAAGTTGGAAGGTTAAAAAAATGATTAGCGGGATTCATGAAGTAAGAAGAAATTTATTGTGAAGCCTTTGAAAAAGTATTGAATAATAATTAGTTAGATCTGTCGATTATGATTTTTCAAAAATGGAATTGAATCGAATTTCAATATATAATAACAGATGAGAATTGTTAAATATACATATATATATATATAAATGAACTTCTTCTGCAGCTACGCCGATATTCGCGATAATCGTATTGAGCGAGATTTCGATTCGGTTGCTTGTGCATTACTAGCACCCTTTTATCTATGTCAGGGTCATTAAATTGAGAAGCTACGCAATGATTCTCTTCAATTTCATTTATTACTAAGCATAAGTCAAAGTGTTCTAGATGTTTGATAGACTCTTGTGTGTATCTACAAATTCTGGCTTTTTGTTGCTATTCATAAATTCATAACCGAAGGATTTTCAAAAGCTATTGTTTCCGCCGAGATTAGAGAGAGTTTCGTCATTTGCAAGATCTGCTAAAACGCTTCCGCTTTTCCAATGAGTTTCACTATGGAAAGGCTTGTCATCTTGTTCAAAATGTATGATGGAAGGAACTTTCGAGCTTTCGATATCTTTTAATTTCATATCCTGGGCATAGAAAGTGAATGCTCCTGTAGCTAAAATTGGTTCTGAATTGTTTGAAGTGGTTAATGTGGTGTTTGATTGATCATCTTGTGTAAATTTGGAGTTTATGGTAGTTTCTTGTTGTTTTGACAAGACGGCGATTCCTGATGGAACTGACGGCACTGTCAATTCGGTATCGAATTGTGGCAGAGTTTCCATCACTAGAAAAGCAATTTTGGTTAAATTAGTTGGAGGCGTAGAAGCTTCACCGGTCAAACCAAGTGCGCTCGCACTGCGGCCAGAGTTTGTAGTTTTATTTCTAATCTTATTGATGTGCCTGAGAGATTCGTCATCCGCAGTTAAAGTATATGCTGATGCAATTGGAAGGATTGTAGTGGCGTCTGTATTATGTTCGGTGGTTTCACGTAAATTTTCGCTTATCTTTTTTTGCAATGTTTGTGTCATTGAAATTATCTTTTGCTCCTTGATTGGTGTCCAGAGACTATTTGAAAGAGATTTTAAGCTTTCCGAAGATTGTAGGCATATGGTTTCATGCTGTCTTGAATAAGGGGTGCGAACACGCGACAAACGTACCACATTTGAAGGCTTCGATTTATGCTTGTTAAATCCATCGGAAGGGTGGAATACATTTACCCTGAACTTGTTTGCAATTTTCATGGCTTCACTTACTAGTGCATTGCTACCATTAAGCGAAGATAATATCCGCTTCGCAGCATTTGATATAATTAAATGGCTATCTAGGCAAGTCGGTAAATTCGAGAGACTTAAATTGGGACGGATCAACGTAACAGGGGCGCGTTTTAAACCATCGTTGACGCTACTTTTATTCTTGTTGTATTCCCCCATACTACCATATATACGCTGGCCGTTAGAAAATGGAACAATACGCCTGTCAGTTGAAGTCAAATTGTCATTAAATCGATGGCGTGTTAGAGCCGTAACTGGTTGAGGAGAAATGTTGCCCGATTTTGAGTTGTGAGCAAACACCGGATCGTTTTTCTTCAAAGGAAAATGAAAATTCGGTAAGTTCGCTAAAGATGGAAATGGTTTGCTTTGACGACTTGCTCTGGCTGTAGTTGTATTAAGTAATCCCGTCTTTCTTTCTTGATATACATGCCCTGCTTCTCGCCTGTCACTATAAGCCACTGTTCGTCTATTTACGTTAATAAGATCACTTCCCTTACTTTCTGTAATTGCCTTGCTTCGTTCAGAAAATCTATGTAAACCTTTCATATCGACTTCTGGCTCTCCACTATGTTTTGTTGTTTGATTAGCATTTTTGTCTACGTTTACGGTCAAAACATGTTTGTTCGATGTGCTTGCTTTCATGTAAGCCGCTTTAACATTTGACAATAATTTACGCTTTAGAAGTAAAGTTCGTAGCGATGTCTCATTTTTTTTAATTTTAATTGAATTAGATACTGAGTTAACGATACTTCTTCGTATATCGGCTGTCGATGACGTAACATTACAAGAAGGTTCCTTTCTGCTTTGGCAATCATTTAAATTTAAGTGATTATCGCATTTATAAGACAGATACGGTGGTACTGTAGCTATATCATTATCGCTGTCATCACCGTTGTTTACACTTAAATTTGAAGCTACGGCACCCTGATGATGGGCAATTGAAGAATTGCTGACGCTATTCACATTTAAAAGAGAACGTTTTGCAGATGGTTCACATGTCGCCTTGGTTGAAAATGAATTCAAGTCATGCTTTCGTTTTAGAACGCTTCGAATTATGAAGTCTGTTTCTTCATCAGCCGTTATACGGCCGTTATACGGCAAACCTTCTTCTTGATTAGGAAGTCGTATATGCCCACTAAATTTTGCATATTGACATGGAAGCGCTTCGTTTGGGTCTCTATTGATTTTCTGCTTGCCGCGTTCGAAACAGCGCCAGCGTCTTTTCTTTGCGATCTTAGTACTTGGTGAAGTTTCGTTAGCTTCTGCTAACGGAATTGACTTGTCATTAGTATTAGCGAAATTTTCCACTGTAGCGTTTAAAGACATTTGATTTGTCGAGTCGTTTATGTTATTTTCTAATCCAACTACAATTAGCCAAAAGACAATGCTTTTCAAAGACGCCTATAGAATATAACGCAATTCTTAGACGTTGGGTGATGATTTTAAAGAGTATTTTTTTGTTTTTTTGTGACAATTCGCTCTCATTGATTTGTGATCTAAGCACAAGCGTATAGGTTTTTTCATTCGAAATATTTTCTTTCAATTGTTAAAAAAACATTTAATTTATTTTTAAAAAAGCTTCAATAAAATGTAAAAATTTTAAATATTTTTCATGGAAAACGTAGAAACAAATGACAGAATGAATGAACATAGTAAAGCACTGTACTTAGCTTCGACTAATCCGTGACAATTATCCAAATCATTAAAAGTAATTTTAATACATACGAACCATTGAACATGAATAAGTGTACGTAGAGTGTCTGAACGTTGGTTGAAATATTGGCGTAACTTAATTGCAAGATGTGAAAGGTCGCTGAATATATTGTCCAGCTTGTACTAGTCAGTGTCGTGTGTAGTATTGCAAGCTGAGATACTCTTTTTACGTTTTTCTGCAAATCCTCCTACCTTGACCGTTCAATAATAATCGACGCTTGCTGGCTATAGTAATATTTCACACTTTCCTACTTTTTTGAACAACATTAACATTCATTACGAGTAAAAGTGTTTATAAGGAGTGACTTTAGGAAGCCTCAAATTTTTGGAGCTCATATCAATATTAAATTTCCTTTCTTATCCTTCCCAGTGTAATCTTAATAGTTTGCATACAGCTGCAGTTCAAAACACTTTCTATCAATGATTGGAGAATTTCATAGTTTTAACATATGCCTGCCTACCCCAGCTACGATTATTTTTTTTTTTAAATTTATTTATTTATATTTTTTAATTTGTTCTTGATGTATTAAGTGTTTACTTATAGCGTTAGGGCTGCTCACGATTTTCTAGAGCAGTCAATTGTATCGAACCTTATCGACTTGTGTCAAGTCAGTAGTTTAGCGGTATATATATAATCAATTTTACTTGTTATTACACATTACATGTCTAACTACAAAACGCAAATTTGGTGAGATCAGCATTAGAAAGTAAAAGTTTTCTGGCTACTTTATCACAAAACATATTTAACTTGGCGAGTCTAATTCATATTTTTATTTACCATTAGGTCAGATCCGGATTTTAACCTTCGATTCATATAATGACGCGATGAAACGTGAAAATTATGCATACTTTTAACTTAGAAGAAAAGTAGAAGTAGCGATCATCGAAAGAATATTTTGAAAGCATATTCATAAAAAAATCGGTTTGCTTAGGCCCATTAGGTTTCAGAAAAGCAAAACATAAGAAGAAAACCATCAGATAATTGTTCGCTGCGACCATAGAAATCGAAAGGATAGAATGAATGGATGTTAAAGATAAAATTTACTAGCGGTGAGAAGATTCGAACAGAAATGAGCCTTTAGACTAC